AGAAGGTTTACATGCGCATATGCGAGCATGCTGGCACGCAGATGGTAATACTGCGGTCTGTGGTCCTGGTAGTAGCATAACGCATTCCATTCGTGTAGTTTATCGTCGACCATGTAATCCCATTTCTCTACAGATACCATCGTTCCTTTGTCATGCGCGCGTTTGACGAGGAAGCTTAGTTCGCCGTCGTCTGTTATCAAGCGACGCTGCATGTGTTTTTCGCCTTCTTTAGCGCCCTGTGTGAACTTTCCTATGACCACCCGCGCTGTGGGGTTGTGCTCCGGTAACCATTTGGTAAAGGCGCTGTGGCAGAGTATGGCTTCATGCGCCGTGTATTTTAAAAGCTTACGCTCTTCGAAGAACTTCAGTAGAGGCACGGGCAACCATTCTTTCTCCTGCAGATGCTTTCCATTCGGATGTAAGCCTTTTGCGAGCTTCCAGCTGGTTAACCTGACAAATCCCGTTGCTGGTGCGTCGTAGTGACCATCCAACGCAACGCGGAAGAACTGCGAGTCTGGATGTCCGTAACGGTCGTAATATTCCTTACAATCTCCTAGACCTTTGAAGCTTGCGGGGTAACAATGTTTCATGTCCAGCGACACGTATTCGTCTTCGTCGTACTCCATGTTCCACAGTCCTCCGTGGCCGTGTTCTACGCACGCTTTGGCTATGTCTTTGAACTCCTCCGGCGTGGGTTTCCAGCCGTTTCTCTTCTTCGCGGCTAAGAAGTCCAAGCTACGGCAGCTAAGCACTTCGTCGGAGAAGTCTTCTCCTAAAGTCTCGCACGCGCTTTGAATGCGCAGCTGTTCCACTTCAGGACGATACAAAGTACCATCTTGGGTCATAAATTGACTTCCCTCCGCATCCATTAACCAAATAGAATTCTCGTGCATTAGTTCTGCAAGCGGCGACTCCTTGTAAACGCGCGTTTCTTTCTTCTTTGGGAACCTTAACTCCCTCCACGCATGTGCGTTATGCTGGTAAATTACGATAGGCGCACCCCGGCCCCCATACTTGTGCGTCGCGGAGTAAATGAAGCCGTCGGTGATGTCTTTCACGTGTATACGCCTCTCTAAGGCAGTTTCTAACTTCTTGATGTTGTCTATCGTTGCTCCGGCCCTGCGGGTGACATGCTCCCATTTCCTGATGGCTTCTCTTCTCTTCAAAGTTAACTTACCACCGCGGGAGGAATCCTCAAAGAACTCCCTCACCAACTTACCCACGCAGTTGCCAGGATGCCGCATTGGCTTGAGCTTCTTAACGTCCGGCTTTTTGATCTCATAAGCAGCGTAGATAACTACGGTAACCGGGTAAGCAACCTCGTAGAACAGCATGTCGATGCCCACCAGTGCTCCAGGACGCGTGTCCTTGTTTAAAACGAACAGGTCCTTCCTACCCGACGCCCGTATCGGATTACGCCCCTTTTCTATTATCCACTCGCCGTCTAAATACTTTATAAACGTCAACTCCAAACGGTAGTCGCCTTCGGGCATCAAGTCGATTATCCTTTCTGCTCTTTCCTCGTCCATAGTTTCATCTGTATTTCCCTCCATAAATGTCGTGAAGGCAAAGTCGGCGTCCAAGTTGTCCAACGCGCGGTTCCTAAGCTTTTGTTCTGAATGCTCTTAATCGTGTCCATCTATATCTAAGGAATAT